TGGCGGTGCATATATATATACCCAAAGAGTAGGCATAACGTCGCTTAGCGTCAGATGAACGCCCCCCCCCCCTTTCCAATTTAAAAAAAAAAACATAAACTAAATTCATCCCGATCGTGGCGCCGTTGGTCTCATGTTAGTTTCGCTCCTGGATAATTGAGACAGATCTTAAAGGAAAACGATGTTTCCGTCAGCTACAGAAAGTCATCATACCAAGGAGATCCAGCTACAGAAAGTTATCATACCACGGAGATCCAGCTACCGAAAGTCATCATACCAAGGAGATCCAGCTACCGAAAGTCATCATACCACGGAGATCCAGCTACCGAAAGTCATCATACCAAGGAGATCCAGCTACCGAAAGTCATCATACCAAGGAGATCCAGCTACAGAAAGTCATCATACCACGGAGATCCAGCTACCGAAAGTCATCATACCACGGAGATCCAGCTACAGAAAGTCATCATACCAAGGAGATCCAGCTACAGAAAGTCATCATACCAAGGAGATCCAGCTACAGAAAGTCATCATACCAAGGAGATTCAGCTACAGAAAGTCATCATACCAAGGAGATCCAGCTACAGAAAGTCATCATACCAAGGAGATCCAGCTACAGAAAGTCATCATACCAAGGAGATCCAGCGTTTTATTTGTAGAGCTTACAAAGGTGCTGCAGGTACTGTCACTTGGATCGGGAGTGGGGAAGGGGAGCTGAAAGTAAGGGGAGGGGTTTCGGGAGGCGTGTGAACTAGGGATGGGAATCGATCGAACCCTCTTTTAGGAGCTCAGGTTCCATTCGGTTCTTTTTAACGGCTGAATTTCGGGTTCGGATCTGTGGGAGCTGAATTTCGGGTTCGCCTCGACAACCACTGAAGTTCGGCGATTTCGGTAATCCTCGCGAGTTCAAATTAGTTCGGTTTTTAATTGAAGTAAAATAAAGGATAAATTACATTTTCATAACCAAATCATATAAAATAAAAAAGAAAAAGAAATGCACTTTTAAAAAATCTTTAACTATTATTGTACAAGGACATTTATTTAAGGCTGCCTCTATTCGGACCCGGTATCAGAAGTGAGAGGTTGGGTTTATTAAAACAATATTTAAAAATATTATTGTAGAGTCTGTACGATAAAATTTGGAATCAAATGAAAGATAATTGAATGGAATATATGTTTATAAACTTAATTCTTCAGTTTAACTAAAATAAACTACCACAAATGACATCCGTATAGCATTGAGTCTAAAGGGACGTGAGTCCGAATAGTGGGGATGCATGCCCGAATCCATTTTGCATTTAAAGTTTCTTTTTACTTATCTGTGTTTCGGGAAATTATGTCTCAGAAGTATTCAGTTTTAAAAATAGTATTAAATTATTTAACTTTTTCATTTTCATCTATGAAACCGTGGAATCGATTAAATTTTTTTTTTTTAAAGTTCCATTTTAAAAGAAATATGATCTTTTCTTACTACAAACAACTGATGTTTAGGTTTTCCCGATTACTGTGACTACGGTGTAATTCAGTTTTTTCTTCAATTTTTTTTCCCGTAACATTCAAACGCATCTTAAAATGCTTAAGATAATTCCTTAGGTGTTATTTAAAATATATTTGTAATTTATAATAACAATACTTAAACTTTTACTAAAATAAAAGCGGATAATAATATTTTGTGCGCATTTAAATTTATTCGATTTCAGTAAAAATAATAGAAAATAACTATGACCATTTTTTATGAACCCGAACGGTTTGAAATCTTTTCGGTTCTTTGGCGTTACGGTCAGCCTAGCTCATTCCTTTATATATTACGCTTCTGGTGTGACCCGTGGACTGCTTCCTAATAGACTGCTTCCTATTCAGCGAATCTGGCATTGATAGTATTTATTAAAAAATGATTCTAAATGTTTGAAAGAAAGTATGGTTTAATAATGAGTTCAATAGCGCCCATAATATAATTCCCGATAACCACGCAAAATAAAAAATAAAATTAAAATAACGCAACTGCGTTTGGTGCGTAATATTTTCTTTTCGGAAAATGAAATTGTCTCAATTTAAGTATGGTGTATAATATTCGTTTTGAAAGTGGTTGGGACATCAGAATATTTAATATAGTTCATGGGCGTGAAATAAAAGGTTTGCAGTGACATGGAAAGGGGGGGGGGAAGGGGGTGTAGCAAAAATTGGTATTCTTAAATGTGCGTTACTGAGTTCATGTTTTGTCAAGTAACTTTAGTAGACGGGAAGTTCGCGCATTGCTGTCGCCAATGTTTGGCGGGCTATATATCTAGTAGGCTATATATATATTCTGGAATGTTTGTGTCGGTGATGATATTTATCGTAACGTGTGCACTATAACATAAACGTACTAAAGTTTTTTGACAGCGGTTATGCTATCCTATTCAATATAGTCCCCGAGTGGATGTTGTCCGCCATAATTGCGCACCGTGGTGCGCTCTCATTCGCTGCTTCCCCGTCGTATGCACCAAATTTGCACAAAAGAACACATGTGGAGTCAATACAAATAGACGTAAGCAGATATACGAAGAGTCATCTTGAACTATTATTATAAATTATGCACCTCTTCCCGAAATTTACAAGCGGAGGGGGGGTGTGATTTTACGTGTTCTGCGGGCGGGAGAGAGGCACTGCCCCCCACCCCCGGATAGATTCCTGAAAGAAACACTGGTTTGTGTGCCGAGGATAAATCACATTTTTATAAACAGTTTTGAAAGAGCATTTTTGTCAAGCTTATTTACCCCCCCCCCCCCCCCCCC